AGGTACCACATAAAATTAGTGTCACTCCCTAGAGCCAATAAGGCTACCTTTCAGCAGGTACTGTTTGAAATGCACAGCGCCCCCTTCCGGGCACAAGGACGCTGTGCAGCTCATGAAGTGCACTAGAGATGGTCTATCGCGGCCCCTCAGGGCAGTGACCCCAAGGAGAGTAGAATCCTGGCGTTGGCAGTTATGTTACCCTCCAAATTGCAATTAGGTGAGATGAATGGGCTCCATCCAGAAATTTATATATTGTTTTTCAGACAGCTATTAAGTTCTATCTTATAGGCCAAAAGTGCCTTTTATTTCAACCTCTGAGGATACACATTGCTGTCAAAAGTAATTTTTTTCCTCCCGACTCATTTTAACTTAGTGTTACAACAGTTCGTTAAAGTGAAAACCCGAAATTCAAATTTAAGAAATATGCTGCTGGTAGCTTCACTGTAATATTTGAATGTTTAAAAATTACCACTTGCCCACCCACACACACAAAAATCTCAAGAAATATTGAGGCTTCTGTAAAATCATGTGGTCGAATAACGAGGAACTATAAAAATGTTGGCTTCACTTCTCATGTATTCAAGTGATGCATATTTGAAATCTTTCTCAAAACAACCGAAATTAAAACTTGGACACATCGGCTGGGACTACAAAAGTAGGTGTTTTAGAGGGATTTTTTTTTTCCATTTAAAGGAGGTGAAATATTTTTATTCCTCAAAATAAAGTGGGAAAGAAATAACAATAAAAAATGTTTTAAAAATTGCAAACCAAAATAATATCTCTTATCAGATTTTTAGTTCTTGCCAGTAGCAGCTCTCTCGTCCTGGTTATTCCTTGTGCTTTTCCTGTTTGGGTGACTTGTCACCGTCTTATATTAGGTGGAAGCAGAGCAGTTTAATAAACTTCAGGCCCGAGTCTTAGCTGAATTTTTTCAAACATTGAAAAAGGCAGATCTCTCCACCCGACTAAATGGAAAAGCATATGTTAGCTAATATATGTCTTGCCCTCCACTCAACCTCCATCCAAAGAAAACAAGAAGAATCTCTTAATCCCTTCACACTCCAAATAGGCTAAAGCGGGAATCAGCAAACTTTTCCTATAAAAGACCAGATAGGAAATATTTTAGGCTTTGTGGGTCCCACAATCTCTGTCTAAATTACTCAGCTCTGTTGTAGAACAAAAGCAGCCAGAGACAATGTGTAGATGACTGTATGGCCAGTTCCAATAAAACTTTATGTATGAACACTGAAATTTGAAGTTAATATCATTTTTATGTGTCACAAAATATTGTTCTTCCTTTGATTTTTCTCCAACTACTTAAAAGCCTAAAATCTGTTAATTAGCTCAAGGGCCCCACATAAACGGTGACAGAAGAGATTATGCCCACTGGTCTTGGTTTGCTGATCCCTAGACGAGAAATCCATGAGGCACACTGAAGGGAAAAGGGAAACAGAAAAGCTTCATTTTTGAAACATGAAATGGTAGCATTTGAGCTTAGGGAGGCTTAGTGACGTTTTCTATATACTACCTGGTTGTGTGCATAAGACAAATATCAAGTGAGAATTAGGATGCTGGGATATAGTTATCTCAACATGGGAACACTTACTTCAAGACTCCTTATCAGTTGTCAATAGGTCAAATTTCCATCCTATCTTAATAAGCTTTTAATTTCTTGATTATATATAGTTTTGACTTGTCAATGAAGGGGGTGGGTGCAGTTAAAGAAAAAATACAGTAATTTTACAAAGCCATGCGCTTGGGCTGGAACCGGCCTAACTCTGATGCCCAGTCCTGTGGTCTGATCCCTCCCCAGCTCTGTTTGTGAAGGTAACTTTGTCACGTCTGCCCACCTAGCTTGATGATAAAAGCAGCTGCAGTCTCAGCTGTGCCGCGCTGGCAGCCGACCCTCGGGCTTGCCAGGGACTTCTCAGAACATCTGCTACCTGCTCTGTAAATGGAGAGAACACTATGGGATTGCCAGGAAGCAATGAAAGGATGTGCTTTCAAATGAAAGTACTTTAAAAACTAAAGTGCAAATTAGCTGTCTTACTTGCACAAAGGAAAACAGAGTACAAGGTAACATCTGCCTTTTAAAACAAAATATTGTCGTCCAAGTTGGGTCTATACTGAAATAATAGGCTCATTCGTGAGAACCACCAAACCCACAAGAACATTAAATGTAAGCTTGAGAAATAAGATTTCCTCTATTAACTATAGGGACAGGCTTTTAACTTTCCAACCATTAGTATCATAATTAAAAATAAAATCTTTTGTAAAGAGTATTAAAGACCATATAACTCTTAGGGTATCTATTTGATATAATTTGTCTTCCAGCTCAAAGAGCGAGAGAGCGTGCCCTTTGAGTTTTCTATAGAGGTTTATGTAGTACAATGAAAGCAGGGTCTACCTTGCAATAAGCAGTTACTGCATGGCTACTGCAGGCCAGCACATTAAACATTTGCGGTGCACAAGTGAGTCACCATTACTGAAGTTGCCCCTAGTGCCTCCCATCTGGCCTACTTCTTACATCCCTGATGGTTTAGCCATCTGGGTACTACAGATCCCAATGATCAAATTAAGATTGCTCTGCTGCACCTACATGAGGACCCTGCCATCTTTCAAAAGCACCAATGAGTCTTGTCATTTCCCCACTTTAAAACCCTTCAGTGGCTCCCCCTCACTTCCAGATTCAGATCAAACCCTTGATTTTAAAACAGAAGATCCTTCTTGATGTACATACCCATCTACTGCCTCAGCTTCATCGCCATGTGTGCCTTCCATCCTATCTTTGCTAACGTTTTCTCTGACCTTCCCATGACCTCCCAGCACCAAGATACTATGACAACACTTCCTCTCTTGTTGTTACTATGTTCATCATAACCCCCCCTTTAAATGGGGGCCCCATGAAGAAAACAGAGCATGTCTTCTATTCTGTATTCACAGGGCCTAGCACAGGTGCTTCACACAGATGATGATCTATCTGCTGGGTGACTAATAAATTTAATACTAAAGTTTCTATCATTTTAGAATAAACACTGAAACAGAGTCCAACTTATATATTTTAGCTCAATTGCATGATTTTGTTACAAATAAAAATACTTTAGATTGCAAAAAGCTCCATTTCCAGATTAGGCACCAATTTATTATATACCACATTGAAGCTCCGATGTCTCATTTTTCATCTCTAAGAAACAAAAAGTATTCATATTCCTTAACTGTAAACCAAATAGAGATGAGGACTGGAGGCAGAGACTGAACACTGCGGAAACTAGGCTTAAAATCCATATAAAGTCACAAAGAGATCAATATTAAAAAGGTAACTTCCAACAGCAGATATTACTCTAGAGATTTTTTTTAAATTGATTTTTAGNCCATATAAAGTCACAAAGAGATCAATATTAAAAAGGTAACTGCCAACAGCAGATATTACTCTAGAGATTTTTTTAAAATTGATTTTTAGAGAGAGAGAAAGGGAAAGGGAGGGAAACACTGATGTGAGAAACACTGATAGGCTGCCTCTTGCCCCCCCACCCGGGGATCAAGCACACAATCCAGGCATGTGCCCTGACCAGTAGTATTCTATTGATTGTTTTTAAAGTCTCTGGAATTCATTCCCAACAAGCCTTTCATCAGAACACTGTTTCCAATTCTTGAGTGTTACAGTAGCCTTCCTTTACTTTCTGTTCTCCAATTCATTCATCTCCCTCACTTCTGCCAGAATTACCTTAAATAAAGCGATTTCTTTAGTCCACTGCCTGCTCAGAACCCTCAGAAAATACCACATTAATTCACATGGTACACAAGACCTTTATCAGCTGCACTCAAGCCTCACTTCCCATCCCCAATTCCAACCACACCTCCCATGAGGCACATCCTACTCAATGGTTCTCCTAGAGACGGTACTGCGTTTCTAGAAGGTGTCTGGAAATGTTTGGGGACATTTTTGCATGTCACAGTGATTTGAGGGCACACAAGACATTTAATGAGCAGGGACTAAGGATAACAAAGGCCCAACAATGTAGGACAAGATGCCTTTCCAAAATGCCAATAGCACCCCAGACGAGACTTATTCCCCACATTATTTTCACACATGTGGTTCCTTCTTTCTAGCTCTGCCTCCTTCCAAAATAGTATTGTAGTTGGATGATACAATTCCAACTCTCTTCTTATCCAAAGAGCTCAACTGATTTAACAGTCGTATACACGGTGTGTTAATAGGAGGTGATTAAATCACCCCCATAACACACTGGTTGCCTGCTGATTAGCACTTAGAGTATTAAACTCCGACTAAACTTCCTACCCGCCTGTCCTCTCGCTCCATGTTCCCCTTTCCCTTCTATCCTCTACTCCCTAAAAGTTTGAACTCCTTTAAGAAATGGATGTTCCTTTGGTATCTCATTGATTTTTTAAAATTAGAATTTCTTCTGTTTTTTGTAGTATTCTATGAATGACTTTTGGGTTAAAAGGTGAAACACTGAGCCTGCATTCCTATACATGTAAGAACGCCATCCCTTAATAAGCGAGAACTCAGAGTACTTTGAAGCAAACTAAATATTTTAGTTACATCTTTTATCAGTAATGGTGTTTTACAGAACTCCAAAATGAGTGTATTAAATTACATATTAGACTAAATCAGGTTAAAAGGGGGAAATAAGCTACAGATACTATGGGAAACTGGAGAAAATGTTCCCAGTAAGAAGGGATTTAAATTCTTTTTTTTTTTTTAAGTGCTGCGTATACCTGATCAGCTTATGTGTTGAGATGATTGTTATAAAAAAAAATTACTTCATCTTTAAAAAGAGTGTGTGTGCAATATACTTCGATACAAAAGATAAATGTAAAGTGTTCTTCTCCCGAACCACTCAATTTTTTAAAGTTTAAGCTTAGGTGATTTCTGTAGCCTGTTAAAGATATACCCTTATTTTAGTCAAAAATTTCAACTTCGCTCCCCCCGAGGTGCAGGAACAGGACAGCAGGGTCGACGCAAGTCAGCTGCTCACGTGCGCATCTGTTCATGTCCGGGGCCCGGTGTCCGTAGTAGCCCGGCGGGCAGGAGTGCAGGCACTCTCCGTACTGGCGCATGCCTTCTCTTCGAAGGAAAAAGAACAACTTCTGTTGGCATCGGCTGCACCCATTGTCCTTGGAACAAGACAAGCAACCCTTGCAAATGGGATTTGATACATAACTAGCTGTAAAAGAAAGAAAAAAAGAGCATGTTCAAATGTGAAGGTGCTCAGGCTTCTGGTCAATATGACACGCTGCGAAGACAAGTTCCTCCTGTTCTTTTATTTTTATCACGTAGAAAATCCAAACAAAATATTCTCCACCCCCCATACCCCCAGGGAAAATGATTAATACACAGCCAAGTTTGGAAATAAAGAAGAAAGTCAGAGTCAGGGTTGAGGCCAGAAGCTCCAACTGACTGGCTTGTGGAGATGTTAAGACAGGCAGAGGTAGGCCTCATGGTAGGCAGGTCCTGAATCCAGACCAAGCAACATGCATGTGAAGAGCTGGAGTTGGGGGGGCTGCTTGTCCATGAAACTAGTACTGGAAGCTCCCACGCCAACTGGCCAGAGATGATTTCAACCCTGGATTAGGAGCATTAACAGGGTGAGCAGAAGAGATGTAACCCATGAGAAATAAGTACCCACCTCTGCAAGACATCCGGGGTGGGCTCCAAGCCTAAATTATCGATGTAGTATGGAGTCCCTAAGTCAAGAGGTTACCATAAAAGCTTGTCCAAATCCAGGAAAACTCACCAAGAAAAAAAATCTGAAACGACCCTAAATTTTTTTACAATCCTGAGACCTGGGACTTTCAAGGAAAACCACCTTAAGAGCAAAATGAACTTCATTTAGAAGTTCACTTCTGAAGCAAGCTTGGCTTCATAAGTTAAGAGAGACTTTGGAAGATTTGCATACACAACAGCACGGTTTAAAGAGAAGGCTCTCAGTAGCACAGTCATCACAAACTAAAGCTGAAGCTGTACTTGCTTTCAGTTCAAAAGTTAACCCAAGTGCTCTTTATCACCATAAATCACACGCCATTGGAGAGAGGAGAATTACAGAACTAAGAGAATCAACATAAATTAAAGGCTTTTTGTTTTGTTCTGTTTTTATGTATCAGATGCCAACTTTCATCTTGACCACAAAGCTTTCAGAGTCAACAAATTGCTCTCCACATTTTTTAAAGGTATTCTTAAAATCATTAAAAGCATTGCTTTATTTACTTGAACCTTGCCTGGCTTAATGGAAATGAACTGGGGAGTTCTTACCTGAGTCTGTATCTTAGATATCTTTATAACCCTAACACATGAGGAATTCTCTTAAACAAAAGTGATGTGAGCCACACCCAACCTAAGTGCTCTCTCTTCCTTTCCCTCAGTCTTCTTTGGTCATTAATAGTGCTCCTCAATTAGGAAGGGCAAGGGCACGTATAATTTTTGCAATTTGAAGCTTCATGCCCCAAACCTCAAACAGACTTTTCAGTTTAATTAACCACGTCCAGTGTCTACTACCCTAGGAGCCTCTATGCTGTAAATCAATAACTTAACAATTTAACAAAAACTTCTTCATCCGTTATATGGTGACTACACCAATCTCTGTATCTAAAGTCAGGCAAGAATAGACCTTCGAACATGATCAAGGTAATTTATTTTGTCAGGATCTTAATGAGTCAAATGGCTCTGCCTATTGCTTTGAGATTTAATTCAAGTGTGCAGGTGCGTAAACAGATCTTAATTCCCAGCTCTGATGACCATGTTTATTTGCTCTCTCTGTAAGCTTCAACTTTTCCTACCCTAAAGCCTGCTGAGATCCAGAGCCTCATCATTCCAACCAAAACACTTTTCTGAAACTAGACCCACCCAAAATTCTAAAGATGAAATATATCACTCAAAACATGAAAAGGTGTTAGTAGTATTAACACAAATCCACACATATCTCCAAAGGAATATGTGGGCATAGAAAACAAGACAAATCATGAGGCATGAGGCAGAAGCCAGGTAACAATGCCCACATCACTAACAGGTGCATCGAGAGAAAAATAGCCTAAGTAGACTCCTTACTTCTGAGTCTAATGATTTAATTTGCATTCATTTTAAATTGCAAAGTAGGTTTTGGTTTTTCTATGAATCTTGGTATTTTAAGTTTGATCCTTTGTTAAATCAAATTCAGTTATTCACATTTTATCCCATACAGCATTTTGTGTAGGTGTTGAATGCCCATCTGTTTCTAATATACGCCTAACACTTTTTCAAAGTGCTCCCCTGTTTCTGGAGTTAGCCCTTGCCAAGCAAGAAGAAATCTAAATTCCTTCTAAGTGAAGGCATCCATTCCTGACAAAAGGCACAGATTTCTAATTTTGAAAATAATGGGACTGAACAATGAGCTGTTGGCATCTTAGCCTCACTCCATATTTGCTGGTTAAATAATGTTACAAGTTCAACAGATTTTTTAAAATAATTACTATGAACTTAACTGATCAAACTTATCACAAAATTGCTAATTTTTGTCTCTGCCCAATTCCAAATTGAAGACACATATTTAAAAACAAAAACCCTATCTCTGGCACCAATAACAGGAACGTGCATGTTGGATCTTATGCAAATCAAGTTGGACACAGATCCTCCCACAAGAGCTTGGCAACATTAGGGTGAAAATACAGTCCTGCAATCGTGTGTAGTACCATGCCCGACTCAACTAACCAATCAAGGTCATGAACTGAGCCTCACAGGATTTGAACTAAATGAGAAATGCCTATCTTAGGACATACTGCTTGGTTTCATATTAAATCACAGTATTTCTAGAAAAAAATCACCATAAAACATGTAATCTGATCTTTGATACAAAGACAACAAATTTTCACACTCCAGATGTTCACTATCATGCCATAGACAGAAAATGAATGTTAAAATTAACAATGTTAATAAAGCTGAAACAGAGATACATTTCTACATGTCCATTAAAGTTTTAGAGAGCTAAATTAACATGAACTTAATCTAGAAAAAATTTTGAGCATAATAATAAAGGGTAAACGTTCCAAAATTTTAGAACTTTTACAATTAAACAATATTTTCTCAACCTCTTTTTACCTTTTGTCATAAATTCTTCTTCGATAGATAATACTTTTAGGTAAAAGGCTTACAAAACCAACTTCTCAAAGTACTTGCTTTGAAAACTCCACTATTAATTGGCTGTTTGAAAATGTTATTATTTAATAATTAATAATACCATTTTATCTACCTAAAATATGTTAATTAGGAATGAAAGACCCAATAAATCCTTATCCTTAGATGTGTTCCTTGGGAAAATAATGTTTCTAAAAATTTACAAGTCCCTCAAAACATGGAAATCATCTCTAGAGGTGAATATTGCTAATGACAACAGGACTAGAGGTCTTTAATCGATGATTTTGCTTCTCCTACCCAAACTCAAATTAAGCTACTAGGAGATAAAATATGAAGGGAGAGCGTTAATAGAGTCACAGATTTATTTTTTTAATACACAAAGTACAACTACTTTCAAAAACAAAACATGAAGAAAATGACCACAATTATAAACTTCTAATTACTGTGCAGTGTCAGCACCAGTTGATCCATAATCCTGAGGTTGGCACCGCAGAAGTACAATCACAATATACGATCACAATTCACTGTGGCCATAGTGTGGTTCACTGGACAGGGTATTTTTCACACAGCACAGGGAAGCAGAAAGCTTCAAGTCTGATTTAACTAAGATGTCCCAGGGAAGCCCGGAATACTCAATAACTGCAGATCAAGGAAAGGTGCTGAACCAAGATACAGCTGCAAAATAAATGTGGAGTCTTACATGGGTCTGTTTGAGGGCACAACAGACCTACCAAGAGCATGAGAAACACATTCTGCTTTTTATTTAACAAGTTACAGACATCATTAACATTCAAGACAGTCTGCAAAATTGGGGGAGATTGTACGTCTGGTGCCAGGTGGGTACTGGAACTATCGGAAGGAAGATTTTGTAAAGTACTTGATTGTCTGACCACGGTGCTATACACCTAAAACTAATACAAAATAATACTGAATGTAAGCTGTAAACTGTAATAGGAAAATAAAATTTTAAAAGTTCAAGGTAAAAACCTCAAAAAAACCAACAAAATAAACAGACACACACAATTGGGGGAGATTGAAAGCAAGTACCAAAGCAAACAATCACTAGAGCCATCAGAGAAAAAATAACTTTGGTTGAACATATTTTACCTTGAAACACAGTAGTATTCCTTCAACACAGTTCACCCAAAACGTAAGCAGCTGAAGCAGATGTGGGTTGCACATCCGGTGGACAAGCCACACATTTCCCAGAGCTTCTGAACGCCCATCGATTACAATGCAAGGTGTGCAAGTGCTTTTTATCAGCAGCATCAGGTCCTGGTCCTCAGGGCTCAGCACCACAGAGCAAAGCTCCAGGGGTGCTAAAAGTAGCGCCGTGACATGCCAGGCCTATGCGCTGATGGAGAGCCAGTCACACCCCAGCCTCTGCCGGAGTGAGCAGCTCAAGTAAGACATAAGAATTGCAATGAATTAAATGAGATCTAGAAATTCTTCAGAAACATGCTTCTAAAACAGCCATTAATAGCTAAATTCAAGTAGAAAGACAAGACACACATACCAAGAAGTAGCTATATATAGACCCTGATAAAAAAAAATTTTTTTAATCAGGAGCCCTCAGTATAGCATATACAATTCCCTCAGTGATGAATTTTCCTAATTAACACTCACTTTGGAAGCCAAGCCCTATAAGAATTACTCCTTTGCTCCCTTCTACAAACTCTTAGACACAAAACCAAATCTTACTGCATATCCCTACACTAGAGGTTAATTCTGACAGGTACAATTAAGGATCAGAACACTTCTGTCACAGAACTGAGCCAGTAGAGCAGACAACATATGCCACCAGAATCATGAGCTCTTCAGCTTCTAAACTGCTGACACCGATAACATTAATTAGTAGATAAAGTCAGGAAAAAATATAACATAGTTTGAGACTGCTCATTTCCCCAAAGATATATGATGTCTGAAACAAGGGGAAAATCGCATCTTATGTTGTATAAAGCAAGCCACCTGTTTAAATCTGTGAAAGAGAAAACATTTACTCCATAAACTGTTCTAACACCAAAAGAAAAGTAA